ATAGATTATGTACTCTTGAATAAAAGAAAATATATTTTTATACTGGTAAACTGGCTATTGGTCTGCATTCAATATCGAAAAGTATAAGTTGTGAAAGACCGGTCATTTGACCGGCCGCGGTAGGAATAGGTATACGTGAAGTGTCGGTAGGAATAGTGTTAAATTTCCCACAATTTCATAACACAGCGTCCGCCCCAATAAAGGAATATATTGAACAATTTCCAACGGAAGTAGATCCACGATTGCAACAATTATAAAATAAAAGACGCGAGACCGGCCGTTTGTCCCGCAGCGGTATGTTCAAACGTCGAACGGGAGTAGAGACGAGTGGCATGCTCGCAACATCGTCGAAGATTCCGTGGAACGGGGAAGCAGAACGCAGCATCGGGTTCACGAGGTCACGCGGAATGGGTTCTTGGCGTGGTCGAAAGAACGGGATCTTACTTTCCTTAAAGGACACTCGTTTTCGATGATTACGATTCGTCCGAGTGGAACCAAGGGGGGTAAAGAGAAAGAGAGCCGGTAGCGGTCGATATGTGTGTTTTGCATCGAGGGGAAGCAATCAACGCGAATCGAGAGGAACGAGCGCGCGCGTTAGCGAGCGAGCGAACGAGCCAGCGTGTTCGTTCAGCGTGGCTTTATTAGAAACGAGTCCGTAAGACACGCATTAGCAGATCAAACGACACGTCTAGGGGGCCATTGGGTCGATCGGTACTCAAGGGCGAACGAATAGCGGCTGCTCGTAAATCGACGGAGACTACCACGACGACAAAACGGTCGTTTCCTTGCGAAATTCCGCGGCAGAAGATTGCCGATTGCGATTGAACCCGATGAGACATCCAGGCACCGTTATTCCGGCATGGTGACGCGATGGTATGGGCACCTGGTACGAGCTATACTGCGTCTCTCTCTCTCTCTCTCTCTTTCTCTTTCTCCTTCTCTTTCTCTTTAGCTTGCGAGCCCCTCGGCCCGTTTCGCCTGCTCGCTCTTTCTGCGTCGTCGAACAGAGAGCTCTAAGCACCGCGTGAATCGACCGAGTTTACGTTCAGGGGGACACCACCGCCCGGTTAGGTCACACTGTTCACACATGTACTAAATTTTTCTCTTTTTAGGATCTTGCAGCCCTCTACACGCCCTCCTCCTCTCTCCGTCATTCCCCGCTAACAATCATCTCTCTCTCTCTCTCTCTCTCTCTCTCTCTCTCTCTCTCTCTCTCTGTGTGTCTGCTTTCTTC